AACTACCAGAATTCCTTAGTCAGTATGCTGTGGTAAAAATTGCTTAAACTTTCATGTAGGCTAAGTTCACACATGTTAACTCATAATGTGGTTAGTTGTCTTCATTGCTCAAATAGGCATTCTTAAAGCAACTTTCCCTGGCCCAGTATTGACCAGGTATTCATCTCCCAGAATTTCCACCCAGCTTTAAATTCCCTCGTGCTTTTCTGCCCTTTAAGCCCTCTTCCCTTCATTGACTGTCCATGTACCATTTTCCAAAATGATCTTGTGGTAGTCAACTTTCTTAGCTGGGTGAACATTTGGAGAATCAGAAAGCAAGCCCTAGGCCGCTGCACCTCATGTTGCAATAAGAAAGAAGAATCCGGCTATCATTTGTGGCATTTCATATGCAAAGGGTGTGTCCCTCTTTATGACTTTGTTTAGGCCAAGCTGGGTGGTTGGGGAAGGGGAAATGGTTTAAAGTTCCCTCTGTTCTGAACTTCTAGAAAGATTTGGTGTGGATTCAGAGACATCCAATCTGTACATGCGGTGGTTTCACAGACAACACGTGATCTAGGCTAAAAACAGATACACAGAAACTCGTACCTATAATTATACATTTTAAATAGAACTTTGCCCTAAAGAGTATTCTACTCAAATCCAGCTGGTTTATTCAACCCCATTAACAAACAAAGAGAAACCCCCATGAATAATAACTCTCCATTAAAACAAAATTCAGCCTAGCCAAAAAGAAAAGTTTCCTTTAATTTGTTTAAACCCAATGCCATGTGCTCAGGCTTTGCTCATAAAAAGCCACAGCAAACAAGGAACTATCAGGAAATTTTTCTAAGGTCATTAAGTTCCAAATCCACAACCTGCTTCGTCTCTCCCGCCCCTGCCCCCCCCCCAAACCTTTTTCCTCATCTGAAAAGGTGCATCATATGTTATGAATTTGTGGACTAAAAACCAGATTGAAAAAAATTCATTGAATAAAGCAAGCTAGTTTTTTAGAACAGCTCTGAGCTTTCTTCTTTCCATGAGGACTTTTCCATTTATAGATGCTTCTGCAACAACTCCATTGCTCTTCAATATGATCCAAATCATATTTAACATACACTTACAAGCTATGACCTAAACCATGGGATCTCAGACCCAGGATTGAACTCACCATCATTGCAAAACTACTGGGAGAGAACTAGAAGTGAATATGTGATAATGTGTAAGATAACAATAATCAACTGTTATCTCATGCAAATGTATCTCTGAGCAATTTCCAGAGTGTATTCATAAAACTGTGATTAATTCATTTATGATGCACAACAGTTCAAGACAGCAAATAAAACTGGGAGCTACTAATTCCGCAAACATCTTGATAAGCAGTTGCTATCTCTTAGCAAACTTTTGTTCACACTTAACATATATGAGGCTATTTTAACAATCCTGAACTGGACATTTAAATCAGTGGATTAGATGAGGCTATGGTATCATCACATTACTCCACAACAAAGATTGAATGTTATGTTCATATATTTTTAAGTAGAAGAAAATTCAATTTTTGTTTCCAGTTTATATTGAAGAATAACTCTAATGTTTGGGGGGAGGAGGGGCATAGTCAAGATTTCATTGTCAGCAGACTCTAACCCAACAATATTCATTATTAAAATGCAGAAAATGTCACCTGTCCATTGGACGACTCAAGGATTAAGTGAAGTGTTTGTCCGGCTACCTTATTGCAAGTGTGCAACATAATGGGTTCAGTTATTACAAATTAATTAATTTCACTAGTTAAAGTCCTGCCATTTGCCATCCGTCTCAGTCCTCTGTTTTCATACACTAAAGGCAGTGCCACTGATTCCCAAATTAATGTGTGTGGTATTGCAACTTTAGATTCATGCATAAGGTCCTTTAAGGCCAGCTAATTGCAAGATTTAAAGGGGTAGTTTGAAAAAATTGTAATAGGCTTGAAAAGCACTTAAAGATCACTCAACAATTGGTTACCCATTAATCCAGTAGGGCTCATATCTAGAGGGGAAAGTTGCTGAAATTCAACAAATCCAACAAGTCAACCCTTTTATCACTGTACAAGATATATGGTTGGATTAAATGCACCTCAGTAAGAATTCACATTGATTTACAAAAAGATTTTGGAGAGGATATCTCCCCTATTTGTTCATGACCCCAACCAAACTTGGGAATATCCACCTTTTTGATCTAATTGTGGTTTTAAGAAATAACATAAACGCTAGTTCTACTTTCCTTTCTAAGCGCCAAGTTGGACAGGGGTCCCAATTCACAGATTTGGCCTTCACAACATCAGGAAATATACACTGAAGACACCATGCCAAATATATCTATAGGGACACTATTGTCAAATGTGGTTGATGTGAGGATCAGAAATGTCCTGGAGATAAAGCTAACTTTATAATGGTGAGAAAATCCAAGCATTTGAAAAATACCCAACAAAATTCTTTTTACTCAACAGAGAATCCAAGAAGCTGTAAGAAAGGATATCTTTTTTTAAAAAAAAAAGTTCAGTTTTTTTACCTGTGAGTAATGAAGTAAAAGTCTGGAAGGAAGATAAACAACAATTCCTGACTGATTCATGCCAGCCATAAGGAAAAAAGAAGGTTGCTGGAAGGCTAGGTTCAGGTTTAAGCAAGCCCTTAATGACCCAATTACTGTGGGTCATTTTTGCTTCCCACAATACCTCAGATCAGCATGGGGCAGGGAAGAAGATGGCTGCCTCTGCCAGATAGTCAGGGACCTGCACCTGGGAATCTAGGACAAGTATCCTCAGTGTCCAAAGATCTCTGGTAGATCACCAGCCTTGGGGTTCCTAGGACCAGATGCTGCTCCCACCTCCATCAGGCTTCCCAAGAACCACCTCCTACCTCCACCACCTTCTAACCAAGCGCTCCGAAACCCCTTTCCACCATCAGCCAGCGACTCACCCATGTTCACGAAGCTCATGACCATATCTGCCTCGGTGAGGAAATTGCTGTCCTGCAGGCTGGCCAGGGGTGGCCCCTGAGTACTGAAGATGGGCTTGTAAGGGTAGGAGAACCCTTCGCCGCTTTCGCTGGGGCCCTCTTCCTCCACCGACATCGCATTGTAGAGGTCCAGCATGAACATAGGAGCCGAGTTGTGCTTGCCGTGCAAGTGGGGCCTCGGCCGGTGGGGCAAGCCCAGGATGGACAGGATCTCCCGCTGCATCTCCCGGCGCTCCTGGCTCCGGAGCCTCCGGTGGATGAAACTCGAGTGCACCTCGTTCTCCAGGGTGAAGTCCGCCAGGGCGCACCGCAGCTCCAAAGTCCAGAGGAGGATCCAGACGATCCGGGAGGCAGCCGCCAGCTGCTTGAACCACCCCGCCGCGTGCATCTCCGTCACGGGTGTGTGTGTGTGTGCGTGTAGATCTAGGAAGACAACGGACTGAGCGGCGGCGGCGGCCGGAGGAAAAAGCTGACCATTAAAATAAAAAGGGGGCAGCGGAGCGGAGCGCCCCGCGGAGGGATCACTCGGCTCGGGAGCTGCCCTGGGAAGCCGACCTCGAGGCGCACATGATAAGCCCGGGCGATCGCGGCGGGAAGCGGCTCAGTTGGCAAAATCCATACACGGGGAGGGGGGGTAAAGAAAGGCGATCGAGCGATCCCCGCCTCCCACCCCACCTCGCCGCTTCTGGCGGGCACCGCGCTCCTTCGCCCGGCCGCTCCACTCCTGTGCGCGTCTGGCCGCCAGTCCAGGAGTTTTTGAACTGCTGAAGTTTTTGCGAAGCAACAGGCGGCAGCTCGGGCGCTCAGGGGGCGGAGCTGGCTTCTTCCTCGCTGCCTCCCCAAAATGTCTGGGAGAAAAGCCGCCAGGAGAGGAGAGTCAAGTCTTTTTCCTCGCCGGGCTCCGACGTTGGCTGGGAGGCATTTCCAAGCGAGCCCTCTCGATTTCCCCGCCTCCGGTCCTTCACTCTCACACACACACACACACACAATACCCCGACTGGCTTTGGGTAATAATGAGCGCGGTGCGCACACGCAAACTCGTGGCGGGTGGTTCCGTGGAGGGCCTGCCCCATCTGGCGAAAGGGAAGAGAGGCACTTGTTTTGTAGATGCGCGCAGCCCGTCCCTGGGCGTTCCCAAAGGAGCGAAGCCCACTTGCGCAGTTTGCTCCCAGGTGAGCGCGTGGGCGGGCGTCGTGGGCGGCAGGGTTTGGAGTGGGGTGGGGGTGGGGAAGCGCTGAACCAGCGGTCAGTTCCACGCAGGACTTGATTCTCCAGAGCAGGAAGGGGATGTTTTGGCTGTTCTGCTAAGAACCTGAATTCTCTCTAAATGTAATTTTTCTTTTCTTTCTTCCTTTCCTGACAAGCTAGCCTGATTTTTTGTAAAGTGCGTTCTTTTAAAAAAAAATTTGTCCTATTTTATTTTTTTTAATTATCATTAATTCTTTTATTCGTTAAACATGAAACTCAATCAACTGAACATTTAAAGATGTGTCGCAAATACCATTGACTGGTGCTAATGGTTGATAC